GCGAGACGGATGGGAGATCCTTCTTCCTTCAGCTGGGTAGCGGCCTGAAAAAGAAAGTTCAATGTCAGTAAATCAAAAAGGATACCTTGGCGTACTCAGGGGCGAGGGACTTGCAGTGGCCGCACCACGGGGCGTAGAACTCGGCGAGAACGAATTCGTTCTCCTCGATAACACCATCGAAGTTGTCCTTGGTGAGAACGATGACGTTCTCCTCCTCCTCGAAGGAGACGGCGAGGGCGCCGAGGGCCAAGGCGGCCAGGAAGACGACCTTCAACATCGTCGGCTGAAAGTGCGGAAGTTGAACAATATCTTGAAGACAATCGAAACCAAATGAAAGAGGGAAACTTATATAACGTGTCTGATGATGAAATTACCAAAATAGGCTAGCGCGCGGAACCGGCCCGCGGCTAGCGAGCCCCTTTGTATCGAAGAGCAATTGAATAAAGATGAGAAAAGAAAGGCAACGTGTGACTAGGGGAAGGAAGTGTGGAGAAACCCCCTCGGCTCCTTGGGTGAAATCCCACTGACCCCCACGGCGCGGTACGTGAAAAGAACGAGGGGCCCGGGGGAGGGAGCAGACGAAAAGTGTGCGGACGATTAGAGAGTGGCCCAGTTTTGAGACAACCTCGACACTGGGTGTGTGGCTAGAGAGCCGACAGTGCCTGTAGGGCGGGCAGATAACGCCGCGTCAGCCTAGGCCATCCCGCGAGCACCCGCCCCTGCGGCCGATTGGACCACGCCGATTTTACCCCCGGCCAGAGCGCGACGCGGCCGCCCCCGCCCCTTCCAACACGACACCGGCTGAGCTACAACTTTTGTTGGATGCTGAGGAGGAGGAGGAGGGTGGTGCAGGAGCAAAATAGTAACGCGCGCCACCAGGGCCAAGGACGCGAGCTGCAAGTGGGGGATTCCGCTCAAGAAATGCCCATATTGGACAGGGCAGACCGAACTTATTGGAGCCCGGAAATTTGTCTTTAGCGCCGACGAATCAAATTAAGCCCAAAAACGTTCGCGCCCTAGCTCTTGCGACTGAGACTCACAACATCTAGCAGCAAAAACAGTAGAACACAAGCTCTTTAATCCAGTTTTTGCGCGAAATGAACTAAGCCCGGTTAGTCTTAGTGGGCCGCTACTTTCAGCCAGCAATCTCCTATTCCTAAAGCTCCAGGTCTAATCATCATCCCCAAAAACGGTCTAACATAAAAACTCCCGAAAGAACTGATAAGACCCCCCAAAATGGGGACGCAAACAAGGTGCCCGTTGCCGGAACGTTGCCAGCCACTACCCTGCATGGCTGGCAGTCGTATTCAGCGCGGATTATGTCCGTATAATAGCGCATTCTCCCGCGGTCGCGGGCGACTTTTTGCAGCTGGCCCAATAAATTGGGGGAACAAAAGCGGGGCGAACAGGGTGGAAGCAGAGCTAGCCGCAATAACACTGACCATGCCGGTCAATGAAGTGGCGACACTGCGCTTCGCAACTCGTAAGTAGGTCGCGTTTAGGGGGTACAGTGCTGACAGCCACGTCGACCCTTTTCTTGAGCGCGACCCCGTAGAAGAGCCACTGGGTCAATGTCAATACCGCAAGCCTGCGGGCCGAAGGCTAACCCCCCAACTCGCCCCTTCTAGATCGCTATCCAACGCCGGCATCGATTTATGACCTACGGGATGGAGCGATTGCGGCTTATAATTGGGGGTCCTGGTGTTGGGGAACTAATAACGCCAGACAAAAATCTTGAGAATAGAGGGGCAATGGGAAGCACCTGGACGAATCGATGCCTGGAGCGCCAAAACGGAATTTTGATGGGTGACTACGAATGCGCGGTGGCCCCAGCGGGAGGGCGTCAAAAAAGGAAAGGGCGCCGAGATAAATACTAAGGTTTTATGAACCCCAGGGAGGAAAAGCAATGATACTGATACAATGTTCAAAAGCAACCCAAAATAAATTCATATCTACCCACTAAAGCAAAATATCCAAGCGCCTTTTACGTGTGCTCTGGGATCTGGGATCTGGGTCGCGGCGGCGGCGAGGTCAATCCCTTTTTTTTACACTAGCCCTCTTGCCTCGGGCTCTAGCGCGCAATCCAGCCCGCCGGCTCTTATCGCTCTCAAAATTGTTCCAGAAAACGATCGAGAACCGTGCCGGGGAAAATCGGTCGACGCCCCGCTAAACGGGAAGGAACATCGGGTGGAAAAACAGAAGCGGGGGAAATGAAAATTATGTCAAGGCAATTCAGGCTGGATGGGCTGATAAATGGCGATCTTACGTGATGGTCAGAGGGATCGCGGGGAAAGAGCTAGAAAGCGTTTGGGTTGACACCGAAATTCTAAAGATTAAAAACTCTATAAAAGAGGTCAAAGGAAAATATGAACTTTGAAAGGATCCGAAAATCGGAAAACCGGAAAGTTTCCATGAAAAAATCTGGGAAGCCCAGTCCGCAGCTGGCCAAATTACGGATTCCGTCGTTTGGTGTAGTTCGGACTGGGAACAAACTACAAATATTTTTTTCTGTTATAAAACTTTAAAACAAACAAAAAACTAAAGTGCTTGACATTTTCCGAAATGGAAAACCTTGGACAGATTTAGAGAGCTTATATTCTTGAACAAATTGTTAGGAAACTAACCCCGAAACAAACGGCCAGGCCTGGCACAGGTGACTAAAATTACCCGGCACCCCCAATTATCCACTTGGTGCCGCCTCTGGCCTTATTATTTCCGGCGTGTCTTTGTTTACTGGCGAGTAACTAGGCTAGTGGGCTGCCAAGGGGTGAGAGATCCTGGTGAAAGAGTAAGGGTGCGGCGGAGAGGCACATCGATTCGCCTCGCAATGAGGCACCCCGGCCGAGGAACGCGAAGTGGTTTCCGCTTCGTTTGAGGCTTTTCGTCTTCTAGAATTGGTTCTGATTCTGTCCAAAATTTTGGGCTTCCATTTTTTTGGGGTGTCGTTTTGTCTGGCTGTTTATTTTGGCGCGGTTTGGGCGTTTTTCAAAGGCGTGGCGTTTGCAGGGCTTTTGTTTTGGCAATAGGGAGACGCCAAAATAGGTTTAGAAGCGTATTCCGACTTGGGAATCTTCGTAAAATCGCCACCCGGTGAAGGAAATGTTAGGATTTTTTAGGTTGAATTTTTCACAAAAACACGATCAGCGGATTGCACTTTTGGCGATTACGGAAGTGGAAGATCGTTATCTTACTAAAATCCGTGGGCTTAGTGCTGCTTCTAAGTTTAGACTTGGCTATCATTTCGTCACCGACTTCCCGGCTCGATCAATGCTCGTAATCCTTATCAATATCATTATCGCCGCCTTTCGGCAACTGAGGCCATTTTGACCAAATCCGTTTCTTTCCATTTGCACTTTATAGCTTTCAACCTTGCTAATATTTTAATTTCAGGCGGGTCTCCAAACCTTGGGCGTCAAAGGGCCATGAATTTCGCGCAAATCCTCGAACACACCAAGCGGATACTCCCGGAAAAGGATGGCTTTGAAGTCTACCCCTTCCGGCTCGGCTCCTACAATTCGCAAGTTGGGCCGGAATTCAAGTTGCCATACGAGGATAATGCCGCCGGATTCCTCGTACTCTCAACGCCGGACATGTTTGACGTGGCGTTCCAGAATTGGATAAAAGTGCAACATGAACTGCACGGAAGCTTTGAAGATCTCCAGGAAATGGTCGCCAATCCGATCGCCGATTTTATCAAGTCCAGAGTCGACGATTTGTGCGAAAAGTTCAATGGCATGAACTTTGAGGTCTTCCACGACCACTCGCTGCACCCGAATCGCAAGCCGAAAATTGTCATGTGCACGTGTGGGCATGTTTCTGGCGCCGCTTACTACTATCATCCCACAAACTTCATTTCCAACGACTGGCCAAACGTCAAGGATATGGGCCCAAACTTGAAGTTCATCGGCGTCTCCCTGCACCCAATCTACGGCGGGCACTTCGCCTTCCGGTTCACCGTCCTTTTCAAAGACGTTGTCGTGCCAGATGGCTTTGTGGAGCCGAAACCGATGAAGATTGCGCTGAGCGACGAGGAGGCGCGCGAGGCGATGGATCTGTTCAACTACAATTGGCGCGATTCGCGTTTTCGGGATGTGGGACAGCCGAAGAAGCGCTACTCGGAGTGCCAGATGAATTATTTCGGGCGGCCGCCGGCGGATCGATGGGATATTATCCGGGAGTGGTGCGAGGAAGAGGTTGTCAAAGCGTAATTTTAGTTTTTTTTTCTCCGTTTTTTACTGTTTAGAAATGTAACAAAACACTGTTTTTTCCTCTAAGCCTGCTCAATTTGGTGCGCCCATTAGTTCTCTATCCCCCTAAAACCAGTAATACTCCCTAGGGGTCAAGCGCCCCTTATCACCCGCGTTATTTACCCGAACCAGCCGCCGTGTCATGCGGGCCCGAATAGCAGCAGCAGTGCTTGGGCGCGATTTCGCAAACAGGCCCTCATCGGCTCGCGGCGACGCCTCACCTCCGGCCTTGTCATCGCCTCTATCGAATTTTGTTGGGCGCGTTTTTGCCGTTTTTATCACATTGTAGCGTGTCGATTCGCCGTTTTTAGGGTCTATAGAACGAATGAAATATCCACATTTCCAAATCCCGTCATTTCTTCATGGTTTTGGTATTCAGATAACAAATTCTAACATTTTTCTCATCAAAATATACTGTTTTTCCCACGTGTACATTGATTCTGTGGCCTTCCCCCGCTGCCTACATTTTCTGCTCAATTTCAATAAGCCCTCCCCGCACAGTTGCTCCATATTTCTCTCTCGCCCCGGGTTTGTTTGTGTATTGGTTGTGTGCCTTTTCTCCCAAAAATTGCTCAAACATAGGTTTTTCCAATTCCAATTCATAGTACCCAGATCAGATACACGTCATCGAGATTTTTGCCCGTGATTGTAGCTCGTAGTTTTTAGGTTTATCAGATTTATTAATTAGGATGTTTTCCTTTTGTTTTGTTCTTTCCTGGGATTACGGTTTTACGAAGAAAGCATTTTCTAGGGATGTCCAACGTCAAGGAGCAGCTCTCGCAGGTCGCTGTTTCGGCCAAGGAGGCTGCGCATAATGTGGGTTTTATTTTTATTCCCAAGATTGGGAAATGGTTTTGGTTTTCAGCTAATAGTTTTGTACTTTTCAGGTTGGCGAGCAAGTGTCCGACTTTTTCCAAGGGAACCCGTTTGCGACGCCGGTCGGCAAGAAAATCGGTAGGTGTTTAAAACGAGACGCATAGATCGAAAATTGGAAAACGGAAAAGAAGCTCTTTTTGAAGACGTCTAGCTGTTTTTTTGCGCCATTTTCATTAACCCGGATCTCAAAAGAGCGCGCTCGTATTCTGGCCAGCCCGAGGGCTAGCTGCTGCTCCCCATTTCGAGTCGCGACCGTTGTCCCCCATTTTCTGACTGGTCAGCAAGAGGGGCACTTTTTGTCGCTCGATTCGATGCGCGCACCCTCTGACGACCGGCTGGAGGAGCCGCAACCGGTTCTCCCCAGGCCCGCGAGGTGCCGGAGGTCGAGAAAATGGAAATCTGCATGTGTAGTTCGGGGGAATGTTCGAGATCAGGGAGGATGAAATTGCCAAAAAGGGAAAGGCTTATAATAAAAAGAAAAACTACACTTAAAAAAATAGCATGAAATGAACGATTCAGAACTGGCCACCGATTCCAACCTGCTCGCCACCGAGAATTGGGGCCTAAACATGGAAATCTGTGACTTCATCAATGGCTACGAGGATGGGTGAGTAAAAAACTGATTGACTAGCTATTTCGCACATTTTTAGTTGGCTTTCAAACAAGCTATATTCGTTTTTGCTTGTGAGTTTTGTTTTATTTTAATTGGCGATTTTTCGGGTTGACTGGGGTAGCTGAATAAAATAATAAATTACCTTACAGGCCAAAGGACGCGATTCGGGCCCTGCGAAAGCGGATGCACACCCAGATCGGCAAGAATAATACGAATATCATGTACACGCTGACAGTTTTGGAGACTTGCGTCAAGGTTGGTGCAAAGGGCAGCATAGCAGTGATTTTTGAGGAATAGCTTTTACAAGAAGAAGAACAAAAATAGTGACAAGAAAATTAAGGTTTTTAAAGAATAAAAATCCGTTTCAGAACTGTGACCATCGTTTCCACGTGCTCGTCTGCTCCAAGGATTTTATCCAAGACCTCGTCAAGCTCGTCGGGCCCAAATTTGACGCGCCGCAGATTATTCAGGAGCGAGTGTTGTCGTTGATTCAGGTATGATTGAATCAGCAATATAATTTAATATCCGAAGATTAAAAAGACAAGCAATTCATTTTAGGCTTGGACAGACGCTTTCCAAAATGTGCCCGATCTTGTCGGGGTCCGACAGGTCTATGACGAGCTCCGATCGAAGGGGGTTGAATTCCCGGCCGCCGATTTGGATACGCTGGCACCAATTATTACACCGAAACGGGTAAGTATCAAAGTTACGAAATGGGCAAGTAAAAAAAGCCAGTAAAATAGTTAAATAGCCTATTTTGTAAAGATATTTTTCTTGGAATGTATGCTTTTCTGGTTACCATTTTGGCTTGCTTTCGTAAACCTATCGTGCCGTGGTTGTAGACCGTGTATCCGGAGCCCCAACAGCAACCAGCCGCCCAGGCCTGGCAAGACCCGGCAGCCGATGCCGCCGCAGCGCCGCCAGCTGGAAGAAGTCGACAGGTACAGTAATGTTACAAATGTAATATATAAGTTCTGTTTTTTTCCGATATCGCGTCGTAATTGTTGTATGGTGTAGTACTGATTTTTAAGAATCTTTTCGAGCTTTCAAAGGTGTTTCGGGTTTGCAATTTAAAATATCTTTCCGTTCTGGCCTTAAAGGCCCGAAAAACCATACCCGAAAAAATTCATGAGCTACAAACTACAACTAAGCTAACATAGAAGTAAGTGGAGTTGCTTACTAAAAGCTGCCTTACAAAACTAAACGCTGAAAAAGCGAAATTATCCCAAAACTAAACTACCTTCAGACCTACCAAGTCGCTCCCCATTCTGAAGTCCCGTTAGAGGCATCAGCCGAGCAACTCGCCAAATTGCGTCAGGACATCGATGTGGTCAACTGCAATTTGAAGGTAAGAACATACTAAGTTTACATAAAACTTGTATATGTACGTTTTCTGTAGCTTGCGGCTTTCTGACCTCAAAACCTAATCCGTCTAGGTGTTCCGCGAGATGCTGACCGAAATCACGCCCAACAAAGTGTCCGACGATGAGCTGCAGCTTATCCTGGAGCTCAACCAGACCTGTCGCCAGATGCAGCAGCGAGTGTTGGAGTTGATTGGACAAGTGACCAATGATGAAGTTACAAGTAAGTCAAGATAGGAGGAATTACGATAGGAAAAGGTATTAGAAATAGTAATAAAGCGAAATTTTAGAAAGCTCTAGAAGCAAAATTAGTCCGACTCTTTCCAAAATACCCGGTTGAATAAACCATTCATATAACGTTTCAGGCGAACTCCTGCTGGTCAACGACGAGTTCAACGGCGCCTTCGAGAAGTTTGAGCGCTTCATGGCGAACAAGGAGAAAGAAGAGGTCGGAGATTTTAAGCAAAAATCATGTAAAACTTTCATTAATCAATATACTAAAGCGGGATGTATCGAGTTTGCAAAGTTATAAAGTATCCAAATTTTAGCCCGCACAACAAGCCGCCGCCCCATCTGATAGTCTAATTGATCACCCGACCGCCGCCTCGGTAGCTGATCAACTGAGCGGACTGAGTGAGTCTAACTTATCAAAAAAATTTTAGCTGATGCTTTTAGAAATGTCAACGGCTGCCAGTTCATCTTCTACAGCTGAGTAGGTGTTTATCATTCTCAAATGCCAATTTATTTACGCCTAGTAGTGAATTTTTCATTTGGAACCCCAAATTTCAGAGCCTACAAAGCCAATGCTGAGCCCCAAGCAGCTGTCGGGCTACGAACCGTTGTTAACGACAAAACGGCAGCCGTCAGCGATCAGGAAGCAGCGGAAATGGCGGCGTGGTTGAACATGCAGGGGAAGCCACAAGGTAAGGGTAAGTTCGCAGAGTTTATTAGGGAGACGTATCCTAGAGACTACAAATTACAGGAAATCCGAACCAGCTTAACTAGGCAGGGGCTAGCAGATGCTTTTTCTTAACGAAAGAAAGCGGAAAACTACAAGCTACAACCCAGGTTTTTCAGAACCCCACGACCCGGAGAACGACAAGCTGTAAGCCACCGGAATTACCCTGAAGAATCTGGCAGCTAATCGCTGTATATACCTTGCTGTAAACCGCCTCCTTGTAATTTAACCCCTGCGTAATTTATCACATTTGACTAGTCCACCAGCGCCTGCAACTTTAAAAACCTTTAAACTTGTAATTTGGCGTCCAGAAAAATTTTAAAGCTGATTGGAAGAAAATTCCTGACCACTCCCCTTAAAATTTACCCCAAATTTTTGCCCGAATGCTGTCGATCTAACGTGAAGCCGGTTGTGATGATGATGGATGCTGCTTGTACCCCGTTTTTAATTGCGAAAAAGCCTGATTATCTCCTACTACGCTTTCCCATAACCCTTACCTGTACCCTACGATTTTGGCTATGATAAAGAATTTTTCCTTTCTTGCGCTCTCGGAGTAGGCACGATAGTTTGGAACTTGGAACGTCACATCGAAAAAGTAAGACTACAAAGAAAAGAAGAAGCAAAAAAACATGGCCTAGAAAATGAAAATGTTATCCAGGGACAACGCAAATGAAACTGAAAATGGTTAAGGCTGAAATTACAAGAGGTCATCCTACTCTTGTAGATCCAAGGACCGGATTCTAACACTCTATGGCTTTGAAAAAAGTCAAAGAACCCTAATGCTTAAAACGAGGCTGTTATCGTCAAAAATCTAGCTCGCTGAAAGCGAAAAGCTTTGAATCAGCCGGGTTTTAACAAATAGAAAAAAAGCATAATCCATGGTACGGTTGGAATAGCGAACGGCGAAATATCTATCTTTATTTCTCTTTCTCTCTCTCTCTCTCACTCTCTCTCTCACTCTCGCTCTCTCTTGACATCGCTTTATGCACTTTTCGAAAAATAGCCTGTCTTTTTCAAGGATTTCTTTTCCTTGCACATTGAGTACCCGATCGTCCCAAACTCGAAATTCCATCCCCAAATTCCAATCGGCAAGGGTCTAAATTTTGCTCGACAACCCAGGCGTTGCTTATCAACTGCCCCATCTCCAATCTTTGTAGGCTGTGAAGCCCGTTCGAGCCAAATTTAAAGCTGCGGCTGACCTGCCAACGTCATCCCGTATTTTGAGACGATCCGGCCACCCTGGAAAAGCCATTCCGTCAGACTTCTGCAAGCTAAACAAAGATAGATGATTTTTGATAAGCGGATCGAGGTTGACGGCGCTGAGATAAAGGATTTGTGCGAATTATATTGCTAATGCTCGGCTAGAGATCTGATGCAAGGCAGCTGTACGTTTTTGAACTTTTACGGTGGTTTGTACGTATACACCTCTGGAGGAATGAGAGTCTCTCTCACCCCGTACTGCGCTAGGTATTTCTGCGCAGATACTTTTTACGTAGCGTACTTTTTACGATACTATTTCTACGTAGCGGTGAAAACTGGATACATCAACCTGTGCTTTAATAGACATCTGTCAGGATAAGAGGATTTTTGGAAACCTTCGAAAAATGTTGTGGCCTTTCGAGAACATCAACTCATAGTACGCGTCCGGGAGCCAGGAATTGTCTTCAAGAAATTTCAATTCTCAAAAAAAATTTCACAGTAAAGCTTCAGAATGGAAGTGAGTGGACAAGGAGTCAAAGTATCGAAAACATCCCGAAAAATGGGTTTTCCAGCGGCTCTGGGGTTTCATTAACGCGTTTTCGATACCTTTCCACCTCCGTAAAACTAGTAGCACGGCGCGTTCCAAATGACGCACTATACGCATAGTGTGAGTCATTTGGAAAGCGTATGTTGATGTCATAGAAGAGACCTGAACAAACCGCATCAATAAAACCGGATCAGCATTGCATACGGGATTTGCGGTTTTATGGATTGCGGAGTTTAGGGTGCGCTGGATCACTCGATTTTTCGATTCTACGAATTTTCTCATACAACATACTACAGACACATACATAAATACAGACTTTGGGAATTCACGTTATTTCGGTTGAACAGGATAATTTTTTAGAAAGAAATTACCCCTTAAGATTTTTGACAATTTTGGAGGGTATTATTCGAATCACTCTGTCCAAATTTTCACTTTAAAAGTTTGTTTTTAACAATGCTATCGTGTAAAAAACAAACAAAGGTCAAGAGTAGTTTTGAAAGGAACCAAAGCCAAGGTCGGGGAGTTTTGTGTCCTGACGTTTATAAACACGCAGCATTCGAGTATCGATTTAACAGCCTGAACCAGAGCATTCAATCCCGAATCAAAGAACAGAAAACCTCTGAAGTTTTGTATGGCCTTTACCTATTTTTTATTGCCGTTTTGAAATTTTCTAATGTCTATTTCGCCAACTCACAATTAGCTTCCTCATACCCCTCACCGCCCCTAACAGCTGATCAAATATTTGCCGCATTTTTCCACTACTACTCCGCTAGCTACTCCGAAAAACACTGGCCATTTGGAACTATTGGGGGCCTGGGTAAATTGATAAGTGAAAAGGTAAGGCGAAAAAGAAAGAAGTACGATGGAGGGGGCATCAAATAACCAACTGTGAGTGAGTCTTTTGTTGTTTGGACTGTTTTGGAGGACGGCCAGCTCATCTTTTCACATTTTTGTACCAAATTGGAGAGACCTTTGGGCTTTTCCTTGCACAAATTATTTCACAAACGTCTATTTGTCGTTCTCTAGCTTTCAAATTATAAATCTACTCTTGAAAAGCCCTAAAAAGTTGTTTGGTGATTTGTTCTTATTAAACTTATAGACGGTTTACTTTCATTTTTGCTAATGTGATGAAAAGCATCAGAAAAATATATTTTTAATGCTTATAGAAACCCCTGAGCTACTAAAGTCCTGAAAACAAAGGAAAAAGCCCGTTGTCAAGGACAAAGAAAAGGAATTCCCGCAATTTTTGAATTTTTGTAAGCCGAAACTCCGCAGATTTAAAAAATTGCGTTTCGTGAGCTCGATGAGCATCTTGAAAACCATGGCGTACGAAGGAAAAGCTTCAGCTGTCACTGGCGTTAAGCTTTAAAAGTCGTACCTGTCAATTTTGGCGCCCCGAATAAATCATCACCGCCACTTTTTGCCCTCCACCTTTTCGTCAGGGTCCATCAGGGTTCAACGGCATCACCCTTCGCCCTGCCCCTTCACCAAATCTTTTAATTCTCAGCCCCAGGAGAAGCCGTGAATGGCGACGGGGCTAGAAAAGGGCCGGAGCGCCGCAGAAAATTTTGCCACCGCCTCAGTTTTTCGGGGCCTCGGCCTGAAGCGCTGATAAGCCATTGCTACAAGGAGACCAAGGGGAGAATCGGGGCATTCAATTTTCGGTTGCTTCGTTTTTCCGGCCGGCGTGTCTGATAATTTATTCGATTTTATAGAAGGACGTTTCTATGAGTGTTTTCTACTTCAACCATGGTTTTGTCGTCCTATTCCCCTTAAGGATCGGGAAACGGAGCTGCTACATTATCTCTCTTTCTCTCTTTCTCTCTGGCCCTCTCACTAACTGTTTTTATCGCCCTCTCCCTCGCTCTCTCGCGCGCTTTCGCGTGCTCTCGCCTTCTCTCACTGTTTCTCTCACTTGCTTTCGCTCTCTCGGCGACTGTTTCTCTCTCTCTCTTCTCTCCCCGCCCCTTTCCTCCTCTCTCTCTCTCTCTCTCTCTCTTCCAAACCAAGTTTTAGGAGTCTTCCGATACTTGGGTGAAACCGCCGAGTAGCAGCTCTCGGCTCACACAGACCAGCAAGATGGGCAAACCATGGGGGGAGGTGGATGAAGGTAAGTTCAATGCTTTAAAGTGTATTTTAACGATGAGCTACCGGATTAATGCGTTAAATGATACTCTAGTTTCACAATCCCCTTTCGTTTCAGAATCCACCAGCTCTGGCTCGGAGGTGCGGCGGCGGAAACCGAAGAAGGAGGCATTCAAGGAGCCGACAACATGGCCGGAAATGATTAAGGTATCTTACGATTATATAATTCGATATCTTTTGACATATATAGGTAAGCAAGGTCGGTATATTTGTTATTTTTTAGGCTTGGCCAAAAACCACATTTTGCATCGTGTCCAACGAGTTTTGCGAACGATTCTCTTACTATGGAATGAGAAGTGAGTGCTTTATTTATTTAAATTTTGTCTTAAATCACGGTTCAAAAATCGATTTGCCTTGTTTTATCGGATTTAAATTTTTTATCTCCGAGCACTTACCCCCTCCCCCCAAGGGGATTATTCTGATGTGATGGTGATGCCAATTTGGGGGCTTCTCGGGCTGATAAGCAGGCAATTGCAAACGCCCTCTCTGCCAGGGCGAATGGAATTTTAGACAGATGAAGTGGGAGAAAAATGTTAGGTAGCTCGTAAGCAAAATATTAATGGTTTTCAAGCCTACATAAGGGGTTTTGATCCCGAAATTGACCGAGATACTGAAATGAAAAGACACTCCCTGCTGCGGTGGGCCAAAATCTCGGCACGCAACGGCTTAGAATGCCTGCCCGCAGTCTCACTTTCGGCATTTTATCTTGTTCGAATTTAGCTGCCGGCATTTTTCACTGCCGGCATTTTTAATTGGCGGGACTATAGTTCGAATTGCAATAATTACGACATGCAAACCCTGCGTACCCGATTAGCTAATGGGTGCGTCGTTTCGTTTTTTTTTGGTTTTCGGCTGTCCGGCATTTATCTTCTAAGATCTGGCGTAGGTTGATGACGTTAACGCTCCGCGTCAAGCGGATCTTTGAAAAATTTCAACTTCTGAATTTCCGATAAGTTATCGAATTCCACCCTGACTGGTTCGGGGCGTTGCCTAACTGTTTCATTCATGATTCACCAAAAAAGGCGCTCAAAAAGTGGTCCAGCCAGCTGTTAACTCAGGCATCCGATTCGGATAACCTTCGGCAGCTGCGACAAAACGCTGTACTTTGGGTAACCCAGCTGATCAGGTTGAGTCAATATTATTGACAAAGTTGATGGCATCTCCTCGGCCAGGTCTTATCAAAATGCCCTGGCCACGCGATCGGTCCCATCACCGGCCAGCAAAACGGGCCAAAAACGGCTTAAAATCCATAATGC